TGAATAATATACATGAAGGATTCTACAAAATAAATAATTCAGATTATCGAAATAAAACTCAGGATGAGCCTCGTGGACTTGAACAACACTCCCCAGTAAAGAGATTGGAGTGCAAACAATTTTTTTCCTTGTTTTTTAAATATCTTCTAATTACATTGATTAAGTATTAGATTTCTAACTCTTGTTTTAATGCCGATGTATGAAAAAAAAACACTCTTGTTTTAATGTGTTTATCTGTCACCGACTATTTTAAATAAGTAAAAAATAAAACATAAGAATAAAAATAGAAGAATGAAAGTCAGAGGATGAAAATGATAATTTGCACTATAAATTTTTTAAAACAATTCTAGAATGATCAAAGATTTGTGAAATAGTTGAGAAAATGAATCAGTATTACGGAGGCGGTGTCCGGCCCAGGGGAGCTTTTTGTGTTTTCTTCTAGACAAAATTTGAAATAAACGTTGTATTATTGCTTAGAAATGAAACAGATATAGATGGAGGAGGGGGGAATACTTACACTTCAAGTAATATTTCAACCCATCTGCAATTTTTGAAAGAATAAATAGTGTTAGAGATCAAAAACATTACTAGTCCCCTTGAAATATTGAGGATATTAATGCGAAAACGAGAACATGACACTAGTAGAAATTAACTAGTTAAGCCCAAAGCCTGATTCCTCATTTAAATTTACAACCTTGTATTGTCTATCATTTCAAAATTATGTGTTCCATCTAGCTTCAAGTTTTTGAATTTGTACAAATAAACTATGCAGAACTTTGAATTTCTACAAATAGAGATACACCATGTGTATCTTTTGTATTTTTGTAAGGGTGATATCAGCTCATCACTAATATGTAGAATATAAAAACTCACTTTTCAAGTGTAATTTCTTATTTCAAAATAAATTCTACACATATACATATAGTGAGGGTTTTTATGCATACATTATATTTTGTTATTGAAGGATAATTTTTTTTGTTTCTTTTCATAATTGTATGTTGGTACGTGTATTGAATTTTATTGTAATATTGAAAAAAATGTATAGCGTACGTCCCTAAAAAGGTATATATGGTAAGAAATGAAAGTTATGAATGTGATATGTAATATGATACTTTGTGGTAAAGTTACGAATAATAAATTTATGGTGTGCATTTTAAAGTTATGCATGGTGAAATTGTGATACTTTGTGATTTTTGTTATGATACTTTGTAATTTTTGTTATAACATTTTAAGGAGAGAAAAGTTTTAGTAACTTTTGTGGTGAGAAATATTATGACATGTTATGAAATTTTATAAAAAAAAATAATGAAAGTGTATAGTATGTGCATTTTTTTAGAGATGCAAATTATAAGCAACTCCATGTAATATTATTTGAAAAAATTACAAAAATAAGGCAGGGTTCTACCCTTATAACAAAATAAATTGTACATTTTTAATTTTATCAATTTAAACTCTAAATCTTTTGATTTATTTTCAATCTAAATTATTTGTCCATTTTTTTTATAAGCAAAATTGGTGGAAAAAAATATTTTAGACATTTTATATAGATTTACATTGATTTTAATAATTAAAATATCATTTTTTTTTTAGTTTTACTTAACAAAAATAAGCGAATAACTTATATTGAGATTTTTTTTATATAGAAATTAAGATTTAAATTGATAAAATTAAAAATTCAATATTTATTTTGTTATAAGAGATTATTTCTCCATATTTTTGTATTTGATATTAATAAAATGTTCATTATAAAAATAAAAATAACAATAAAATAAGATTAAAAAAAAGGGTGTCTTGGACGTACGCACCTAGAAAGGCCGAAAACCCACGTAGACCATGGCAAACGGCGGCGGTGTAATTTTGAGTATGATTGGAGGAGCAATGCGCCTGCAGTCTGCAATATTCGTTGGTGTTGACATCCCAGTCAAGATCAAATCCGTCAGCCAACGCGTTGTGGACCTCCAACAAGCTCGTCATGTTACGTAGACGACCATCTGGAAGCTGGAACAGCCTTATCGGAAAAAGCATGTCGACGCTGCATAAGTTTGCAACATCTGACCAATCAAGAGCATAGTCGCTTGGGACCAGAACGTATGAATGCTTTTTCGACGATGACGAACCTCTGACTCCTCCTCCTCCTCCTCCTCCTCTGTTTTCACAGAAAGCGGTACTAATATTACTAGTAGTGTCTATGTAGAGACGAGATTTCACTGGTTTTTCACAACTCACTAACGCTACACGTTCTAAATTCTCACTGTAATATAAATACACTGTGTTAGTAAAGTTGATAGAATTAAAAGAACGAAGAGGAACAGGAAGAGGAACAGGAAGAGAAGAGCAATTATTCCTCTGTATCCCCACATCCACCAGGCTGATGGTGCCGAAGCCAGTTTCATAGTAGTTGATGGCCTGCACGTAGTATTTACCAGAAAACAAGTATACTACTGTCCGATTGTTTTCGCACTCAAGTTCCACATTGCCTCTCTTTTGTGCTCTCTTTCCATCATTTTACATACTAGTTTTTTAGAAAAAAATTCTGAGAGTGTAGAATACAGGTTCTAGTTTGCCGTACAAATTGTTTGGAGTGCTACTTTAATTTGTGATGTTATGGATATCTCCACAAGAAGAAGAATTACAACAATTTACACAAAAGAGAACATGAACAAGAAGGCTTATGTAACCAGCAGCAAAGAGGAGCCTTCCCCTAAACATGGATACACACACAGAGAGGTTTAACAAGGAAACAGAACCATAAATTTCTGTTGGCCACCCACCACGAGAGTTGTAGAGACTTACAAATGTAAACAAGGCTTCCAATACAAGTAGCCACGTTGGTTCATAACACCATTTGTCTCCTAATTGAGATTTATAACCAAAACAATAATGTCACCGTAAATTACACTCACTCCCCCTGAAGTTTTTTTTTTTTAAAAAAAATACAATTAATTCAACACTTTCAACATAATTACATTGCTCTCCCTTGATACATTAATTATTGGTTTTCTTGAAAAAGTGTTAATTCCGGGTGTTTTTTTATTTTTATTTTTATTTTTGGACTTCATTCAAAAATTTGTTAGTTACTCCTGTTTTTTGTTTACTTCGTTAACAAATGTTGATTATTTGTATTTTGTTTAATTTGTTAACAAGTGTTGATTATTCTTTATTTTATTTGTTTACTTTGTTAACAAATGTTGATTACTCTATATTTTGCTAACAAGTGTTGATTACTTTTTTTTGTAGGTAAAAAAGCGATACACAATATTATAATAATTTTCCGTCTGTTGATTTAATCTCGACTAATAGATGTGTTAGATTGAAACTTAACCGAAAGTCTAAATAAGTTGGCCTTCACTTTTTAAATGTCATGAGATAAAGTGGATTGTGGAGCTTCCAGGTGTAATATGCCCATAATGTTGTGATAACTTATTTTCTGATCTTATTTTATTTATTATCTTTTTTGTTCTGATTATCGGATGTCTAAGTCAGTTTATACATATCTTAACTAATTCTACCATCCACTTGCTGGGGCTCAGTTAAGCCCAAGCAAATGTCCTGTATAAACTGACCTAAAACTGACCTAAAAAAAAAGAGTGCCCCAAGTTATACTCACTAGGCCAAGCACAAACACATCTTTCAAAATCCTAAGTTAAATCATCAAAATCATTCACTATCCAACAATACAATTAAAGTAAAATCATTCAAAATCCTAAACTTACCTAAAAGTAATTATTCATTAACTTTTACATTCATCCAAAATGTAATAACAAAATGACAATAAATTGTTGTCAAATTTCAATCAATTCAAAACCATTAAATAAAATAAAAGCATTTGCAAACTTGCATTTTTCATTTTTTAAAAAAAAAAAAAGTCTAAGTGCGGGTAGGTTCTTGCGAGTGTAGGTAAAACCCGCAACCCGCAATAATATCATATTCCAAACCGCATCCGCCCGCATTGTGTTTGCGAAACCGCCCATTTGTATGCTGATTGGTTCAAGTTGAGCAGGTTGCGCGGTTCGAATAACTCTATGCCCAGCCCTATCCAATGCTATACTGTTAAAATGGATGGTCCCAATTAAATTTTGATATTATTATAGTATCAAAACGTTAAATTTTAGGTTTCATTTGGAAAATGGGTTGGCGCTTTCGCTTTTTACTCTGGATCTAAAAAGTCACATTTGGGTTGAGTTTTTTTAGGTTTTTTTTTTACTTTTGTGAGAGAAAAAAATAAAATAATTATGATTTGTAATGATATTGTCTTATTAAATTTTTAACCTATTTTATTTTTTTGTGATTATTTTAACCTGATAATCTCATGCCAAACAAGGGCTTAGTAATGTAACTTCATTGGTGTACTAGCTATTTCTCTTATTTTTTTCACACAAAAAAATATTCAAATTAAAATTGATGAAATTGTGATACTTTGTGATTTTTGTTATGACACATTATAATTTTTGTTATAACTTTTTAAGGAGAGAAAAGTTTTAGTAACTTTTGTGGTGAGAAAAATTATGACATTTTATAATCCATATTACGAAATTTTATAAAAAAAATAATGAAAGTGTATGGCATGTGCATTTTTTTAGAGATGCAAATTATAAGCAACTCCATGTAATATTATTTGAAAAAATTACAAAAATAAGGCAGGGTTCTACCCTTATAACAAAATAAATTATACATTTTTAATTTTATCAATTTAAACTCTAAATCTTTTGATTTATTTTTAATCTAAATTATTTGTCCATTTTTTATAAGTAAAATTAGTGGAAAAAAATATTTTAGACATTTTATATAGATTTACATTGATTTTAATAATTAAAATATCATTTTTTTTCAGTTTTACTTAACAAAAATAAGTGAATAATTTATATTGAGATTTTTTTTTTATAGAAATTAGAATTTAAATTGATAAAATTAAAAACTCAATATTTATTTTGTTATAAGAGATTATTTCTCCATATTTTTGTATTTGATAATAATAAAATGTTCATTATAAAAATAAAAATAATAATAAAATAAGATTAAAAAAAAAGGGTGTCTTGGACGTACGCATCTAGAAAGGCCGAAAACCTACTACGTAGACCATGGCAAACGGCGGCGGTGTAATTTTGAGTATGATTGAAGGAGCAATGCGCCTGAAGTCTGCAATATTCGTAGTTGTTGACATACCAGTAAAGATCAAATCCATCAGCCAACGCGTTGTGGACCTCCAACAAGCTCGTCATGTTACGTAGACGACCATCTGGAAGCTGGAACAGCCTTATCGGAAAAAGCATGTCGACGCTGCATAAGTTTGCAACATCTGACCAATCAAGAGCATAGTCGCTTGGGACCAGAACGTATGAATGCTTTTTCGACGATGACGAACCTCTGACTCCTCCTCCTCCTCCTCCTCCTTTGTTTTCACAGAAAGCGGTACTAATATTACTAGTAGTGTCTATGTAGAGACGAGATTTCACTGGTTTTTCACAACTCACTAACGCTACACATGATCCTATATAGTCAACACTGTAATATATGGGACCTACTGTTTTAGTAAAGTTGCTAGGATTAAAAGAATCAAGAGGAAGAGGAAGAGGAAGAGAAGAGCAATTATTCCTCTGTATCCCCACATCCACCAGGCTGATGCTGCCGCTGTCGTCAGTTTCATAGTTGATGGCCTGCACGTAGTATTTACGAGAATACAAGTATAGTACTGTCCGATTGTTCTCGCATTCAAGTTCCGCATATTTGTATCCACAATTATCAACTGGGTCGGATTTGAGTCGAAAGGGGAAACTGATGTTATGGATATCTCCACAAGAAGAAGAATTACAACAATTTACACAAAAGAGAACATGAACAAGAAGGCTTATGTAACCAGCAGCAAAGAGGAGCCTTCCCCTAAACATAGATACACACACAGAGAGGTTTAACAAGGAAACAGAACCATAAATTTCTGTTGGCCACCCACCACGAGAGTTGTAGAGACTTACAAATGTAAACAAGGCTTCCAATACAAGTAGCCACGTTGGTTCATAACACCATTTGTCTCCTAATTGAGATTTATAACCAAAACAATAATGTCACCGTAAATTACACTCACTCCCCCTAAAGTTTTTTTTTTTTTAAAAAATACAATTAATTCAACACTTTCAACATAATTACATTGCTCTCCCTTGATACATTCAAAAATTTGTTAGTTACTCTGTTTTTTGTTTACTTTGTTAACAAATGTTGATTATTTGTATTTTGTTTAATTTGTTAACAAGTGTTGATTATTCTTTATTTTATTTGTTTACTTTGTTAACAAATGTTGATTACTCTATATTTTGCTAACAAGTGTTGATTACTTTTTTTTATAGGTAAAAAAGCGATACACAATATTATAATAATTTTCCGTCTGTTGATTTAATCTCGACTAATAGATGTGTTAGATTGAAACTTAACCGAAAGTCTAAATAAGTTGGCCTTCACTTTTTAAATGTCATGAGATAAAGTGGATTGTGGAGCCTCCAGGTGTAATATGCCCATAATGTTGTGATGACTTATTTTCTGATCTTATTTTATTTATTATCTTTTTTGTTCTGATTATCGGATGTCTAAGTCAGTTTATACATATCTTAACTAATTCTACCATCCACTTGCTGGGGCTCAGTTAAGCCCAAGCAAATGTCCTGTATAAACTGACCTAAAAAAAAAAGAGTGCCCCAAGTTATACTCACTAGGCCAAGCACAAACACATCTTTCAAAATCCTAAGTTAAATCATCAAAATCATTCACTATCCAACAATACAATTAAAGTAAAATCATTCAAAATCCTAAACTTACCTAAAAGTAATTATTCATTAACTTTTACATTCATCCAAAATGTAATAACAAAATGACAATAAATTGTTGTCAAATTTCATTCAATTCAAATCCATTAAATAAAATAAAAGCATTTGCAAACTTGCATACTCCATTATTTAAAAAAAAAAAAAGTCTAAGTGCGGGTAGGTTCTTGCAAGTGTAGGTAAAATTCGCAACCCGCAATAATATCATATTCCAAACCGCATCCGCCCGCATTGTGTTTGCGAAACCGCCCATTTGTATGCTGATTGGTTCAAGTTGAGCAGGTTGCGCAGTTCGAATAACTCTATGCCCAGCCCTATCCAATGCTATACTGTTAAAATGGATGGTCCCAATTAAATTTTGATATTATTATAGTATCAAAACGTTAAATTTTAGGTTTCATTTGGAAAATGGGTTGGCGCTTTCGCTTTTTACTCTGGATCTAAAAAGTCACATTTGGGTTGAGTTTTTTTAGGTTTTTTTTTTACTTTTGTGAGAGAAAAAAATAAAATAATTATGATTTGTAATGATATTGTCTTATTAAATTTTTAACCTATTTTATTTTTTTGTGATTATTTTAACCTGATAATCTCATGCCAAACAAGGGCTTAGTAATGTGACTTCATTGGTGTACTAGCTATTTCTCTTATTTTTTTCGCACAAAAAAATATTCAAATTAAAATGCCATTAGTAAGTTTCATTGTGAATGAGAAAAATATGACAAAATTTGGCATTTAGGTAGAAGACCACCTTATCACCAAAAAAATAAAAAATAAAAAGAAAAAATCTAAATATATTTTTTTTTCTTTTCTTTCTTTTCTATGGTATGACTTGACTATAAGTGAGCCTCTGCAATTTTTTCCCAAAAAACTTGACTTGAAATGTAGACTTACTATAACCCCTCGTATAAATTGTAGACTTGACTTGGATTATATATTAATGCGTCTTGTGTTTGACAAGTCAGCCAACTACTTCGATGGATTCATTAGTGGTTGAGTGGAGACCACAATCAAACCGTGTCGAACTACTCCAATGGATTCATTGGTGATTGAGTGGAGACCACAATCAAACCGTGTTAAACGTTCAATTGCTTAGCCAAGTATTTGGGTGGGTCTTGAGTATTGCAAATTCAAATTCTATTACCATAAATGTGGTTATGATAGTTTATAATTTTTAATTATGAGTTAAATAATATGTAATTATGACTTAGGTTTCGATAATTTACTAGTTTAGTTTAAAAGTTAAAAAATTATTAAAAAAGTTAAAACCAACATATTATACACAAAAAAAAATTAATCATTTTATTTTCTCTTTACTTTTTGATATATCATCATATAGAGAGGTTGTGGCATTTTTTTTTTAAATTTTATTCTTGATACAACTTTGTTGCATCATCTTGCTACTTTCAGTTATAACCAAAGTATTATAATAGATCACGACTAAACCAGTGTTGTTAATAACACTCAATTTTTTTCTTTAAACTCTTACCCTTTTATATTTTTTTGTATTACAATTGTATCCCATTATAAAATTTCAATTTAGTTCTTATGACTAATTCTCAAACCTTAATGCTAACCTTATCTACTCCCACCAAGTAGCTTTGACTATCACCCTTCCTAGCTTTGGCGATCCACTTGAGACATAATCTAATACACCTTGGTAACTAAAATAAAAATTATAATAAATTATATCTACCACTACAATGATTTATAACTCAAAAAAATTTGGACTGTACAATCATACTGAGTCATAATTACACATTACTATAATTTGTAATAAAATGATTACAAACACATTGAACATAGGGGGGCGCTAGAAGCCCCTCTCTCTAGACAATTTCCAGCTTTCCTTTGGAAACTTTCCGGTATGTCTTCGGTGAGCTCCCAAGAGGCTTTCAAAGTGTAGATTTGAGTATTTTATGCCTAAGAATAAGGGTTAACAAATGTTGATTACTATTTATTTTGCTAACAAGTGTTGATTGCCTTTTTTTATAAGTAAAAAAGCGATACACAATTTTATCATAATTTTCCATCTGCTGATTTAATGTCAACTAATAGATGTGTTAGATTGAAAAAAGCGATACACAATTTTGTAACTCTAACATATTGTTTAGCCGACATGTTGAAAGATGAAATGATGTAGGTTCCATCACCTCAGGTTGCCGAGATAATAAAACTTAGAAGGCAGTTGTGGGGACATATTTTTTGGGTAGTCCACGTGGCTGAGGCTATTAGCCGAGATGCCACATGGAAGGACCATGGTGCCGAGATATGGTGCGGTAATATCGGAATCCAAGATATTTGGAAAGAGGACTAGAGACCTAGATGGCATCAAGCTACCTATTTAGATAGAGATGAGACTTTTGAGGGAGTTCATCTTAATCTAAATAGTGTGAGTTATGATAGATGTTATCCTTGTAAATGATAGAATCCCATGAAGTGAGACTTCTAGGGGAAGTTGGACATTGATCATTATAGAAGTAAGGCACCCTCATGAGTCTAAGGTATGCTTTTATTTGGTACGTTTTTTGTATTCTGACTAGTGAGTTAAGCACTATTTGCTATCTTTGAGAGATAACTGAGTACTGACTTGATCGTCGGAGTGCCCCCAGGTGGACGAACCACCGCCAGAGTCTTATCTTTCTGTGACAGGTTGCTCGAGCGTGATCTATTCTACCTATGCTCTTCTGTTGAGTCCTTGTTTGGCAGTGTGGTCAGAAATCAGCACCCACAATTTGGCGCTATCTGTGAGAACTTAGTAAGGATAGATGTCCAATAACGGACAAGAAGTGAGGATTGGGGACGACATCTACAGTGAGGAGGAGGAGCATGTAGATCCTAGCACTGAAGGAAGGGACCATAATGGAAAAGTGCAAGAAGTGAATCCTAAGGTGAATAATGTCGCCAAAGGACAGGAAGGGAACAAGAAGGGTAGCCGAAATGAGTACTATTGTGAAAGCGACCTTCAGGTATGGAGGGATAGATGTCGGAGAAAAGACGAGAAATTGAAAGATATGGCAGATATGTTGACAAATCTACAAACATTGGTCAACCTAATGATGCAGAACAACATGATGTAGTCAACATCCCCATTACAGGACATGTCGACACCAACAACCAAAACTTGTGCCCAAAGACAAGATCGCGGCCTAGATAATTTGGTTTGAGAAGACAAAAGCTCAACCCAAGTGAGCAGATCCCGGATTCCAGATCCCGGATCCCAGATCCTAGAAAATAAGATCTCGGCCTAGATGATTAGGTCGGAGAAGACAAGAGCTCAGATCCCAGATCCTAGATCCTAGAAGACAAGATCTCAGCCTAAATGATTAGGTTCAAGAAGACAAAAGCTCAACTTAGGTGAGCAGATCCTAGACTTTGGTAGACAAGATCTTGGCCTAGATGATTAGGTCTGAGAAGACAAGAGTTCAGCCTAAATGAACAGATCCCACATCCTGGAAGAAAACATCTTGGCCTAGATGATTAGGTCCGAGAAGACAAGAGCTTAACCTAAGTGAGCAAATCCTAGATCCTAGATCCCAGAAGACAGGATCTCGACCTAGATGATTAAGTCCGAGAAGACAAGAGCTCAGCCTAAGCGAGTAGATCCCAGATCCCAGAAAACAAGATCTTGGCCTAGATAATTAGGTCCGAGAAGACAAGAGCTCAACTTAAGTGAGTAAATCATAGATCCCGGAAGATGAGATCTCAGCTTAGATGATTAGGTCCAAGAAGACAAGAACTTAGCCCAAGTAAGCAAATCCCAGATCCAGAAGACAAGATCTCGGCCTAGATGATTACGTCCGAGAAGAGAAGAGCTCAGCCTAAGTGAGCAGATCCCAGATTTCAGAAGATAAAATCTCAGCCTAGATGATTAGGTCCAAGAAGAGAAGAGCTCAGCTTGAGTGAGCAGATCCAAGATTCTAGAAGACAAGATCTCGACCTAGATGATTAGGTCCGAGAAGAGAAGAGCTCAATTTAAGTAAGCAGATCTCAAATCCCAGAAGACAAAGAGGAAGCACACATGATCAGACTGAAGTCGGCCAGGTTCTGCCTGTCGGCAGAAGGCCATCTATATAGAAAGACTTTATTAGACCTGTATTGCGATATGTACATCCTTTCCAGGTTGAAGACTTTTTATACGAGATCCACGAAGGAGTATGTGGAAGCCATACAAGGGGCAGATCCCTTGCCCACGGAGCTATATCACAGGGATTCTGGTGGCCTTACAAGCAAAAAGATGCCGAAGCCTATGTAAAGAAACGTGAAAATGTTGTTGGAATCCATAATTATGCGATAAGACTGAATAGTCTTATGACGATGTTCCCATGGTAAGCATGACGAATAACTTAGACTTGCCATATAGTAAAGTTTATAGCGATCCCGGTTTTTCCTCCATTGAGTATTGTATTCCGAACTTGGTTCCGTAGATGTGGGTTATT